CTGGGGAAGGAAGCCCGGGTAGCCACGCCCACGACGTCTGCGTCAGGCTGCGTCTGCCCTGGGCACGTGCCCTTTCTCCACCTCCTCCTGGGGCTCATGACATGGGATCCCTTGCCCTGTTTTGCAGATGAGATTGAAGACCAGAGAAGGACAGTCACTTGCTTAAGGTCACACAGCTGGGAAATGATGGAGACAGGATTTTGACCTAGGGGTGCCTGACTTTGAAGACTGTGCTTCTTTTTCTTCTTCCTTTTTTTTTTCCCCATTTGATATAGGGTGTGTGTGTTCACCAGAGAAAGAAAAAGTGAGAAATCACTCCCCAGGGAGGATGGACACACAGCGATCCCTTTCCCTCCACTCGCCTCTTGGCATTTTGAGCGCACACGCACACATGCCCGGTGTGATGCTCAAGCCGCCGGCTCCTAGACTTGAACTCTGCCGTCGGCCGTGTGGGATCCAGTTGTCTAACCTCCACTTCACCAGCTGGTCCAGGCTGTGCCTTTAACCACTTTGTTCTCTTTCTATACCCCGGGAGTGGGGGACAGGGGGCAGAGCAAGAGAGAGAGAAACCGATAGGTGGAGAGTGGCATGGACAATTGAGGGAGAGAGAGAGAGAGAGACGGAGAGGAAGAGGGAGCGGGGGAGAGGGAGAGGGAGAGAGAGAGGAAGAAGGATCTCATGCAGAAACCTCCTGCCCTTTCGTTTAGGACAGAGGTTGGCAAACCTTTCCTCTGAAGGGCCAGACAGATCTTCAGGCTTTGGGGGCCGTGTGGTTTCTGGCCCCTGCCCCTGTGGTGTGAGTGTGGTCACAGCAGGATGGGAGAGAAGGGTGCTGCTCAGTGAAACTTCATTTACTCATTTATTTAGTGAAGTGGCACAAAACCTAACCTGATTTGAGAATCGGCCATTGGCAATGACACCAAGCAATTCCGGGCTCAGCCAGCAATGCTTCACTTCCAGACAATGAGAATATGAACGCCGCAGCGTAGTCACAGCCCGGGAAGTATTTTTCTTTTGATAAAAACATTCTCAGCTCCCAGGCTGGACAAAGACAGGAAGCCACGCAGACTTGGCCTGTGGACAGCGGTTACCGCCCCCTGGTCTAGGAGATTAGGTGTTCAAGTTCTGACATCACCCTGGAGGTTCGGTAGCTGCTCGCCTCAGGGAGTGAGGAACTAGGGAATTCTGGGAAGAAGTCAGCTTTGGATGGCCCCTCTGGGGCTGGCGTGCCCAGAGAGTGGAGACTCAGCAGATGAAGGGTCTCAGCAGCTGGGACTGAAGCAGCATCAAATCAGGAAGATGTCTACAGCCCAACTTGGGAGAAGCTCTTTGATTAGCAATGTGGGGAATCTTTTTTCTTTTTTTTTTGGAGAGGTTTTTGCTATAGGGTGCGTGCACTCGCCAGAAAGAGACAGAGAGACAGAAAGCGAGAAATCACCCCCCAGGGGGATGGCCACGTGCAATCCCTTCTCTTCCATTCTCCTCTCGGGATTTTGGGCATGCACGCACATGCGCCCGGTGTGAGATTAAGCCACTGAGTCCAGTCGAACCATTGTCGACTACATGGGAGTCCAGCGACATAGCCATTACGCTAACTGCTGGTCCCCTCATCTTTTTAAAAGAGATTTTTGCGATAGGACACCTGTGTTTGCCAGAGAGAGAGAGACAGAGACAGAAAGTGAGAAGTTGCCCCCTAGAGGGGATGGCCAGGGCACAGTCTCTTCTCTTCCATTCTCCTCTTGGGATTTTGGGCACCTATGGACACACCCGGTATGAGTTTAAAGACACTGGGTCTGGGACTTGAACCACCGTTGACCACGTGGAGTCCAGTACCTCAACCACTATGCCACCTGCTGGCCCCAGATCTCCTCATCTTTAAAACGGGTGTAAGCATGGCCCCTGCCTCCTGGCGGCGTGGGGGGTCATCTCTGCGCACTGGGGGTGCTGGCCACTGCTCGCCGTTGGGATTACCACTGCGGGTCTCACCTCACGTTCCACCCCTGGGGAAACTGGAGAGGGGGCCCCTCGGGCCTCGGGCTCCTCACTCAGGTGGCCTGGGAGCCGGGGCCGGGTGCACACGCGGGTCGGGTCGCAGGCGGGAAGCCACGGCTGCTTACCTTCGTTGTTCTCGCCCGGCGGGTGGTAGAAGGAGAGCCCCAGGGAGATGATGGCGGCGATTTCCAGGATGATGAGCGTCACGTCCTGCAGCGCCTCCCACACGAGCTGCAGGAAGGTTTTTGGCTTCTTTGGAGGTATAAAGTTTTGCCCAAAAATCTGCTTTCTCTTCTCCAGGTCTGGAGCGGTGCCCGGCAAGCCTGTGAACGGAGCACAGAGAGGTTAGCCTGGGGCCGGAGGGAGCATATGCGGTCCTGCGACCCGAGGGCAGGAGGAAACTCGCTGGCCACTGGCAGGTGCTGGCCCAGGAGCCCCACACCCCACAACTCCCCTGTCAAATGCCAGAGATGCCATGCAGAGGGGTGATCCAGGCCCGAGAGAGGAGATAGGGGTCCACACCCTAGCCCTGAGACCTGTGAACAGGCGCCTTGATGGGAAACAGACTTTGATGTTGCAATTATTTTTATTTATTTATTTATTTTAGAGTGAGAGTTTTGCTACAGGGCATGTGTGCTTGCTGGAGAGACAGAGACAGAAAGTGAGAAATCACCCCCTGGGAGGATGGTCATGCCACAATCCTTTTTCCTCCATTCTCCTCTTGGGATTTTGGGCATGCATGCACACATGTCTGGCATGAGTTTTAAGCCTCTGGGTCTGGGACCTGAACCACAGTCAGCCACGTGAGAGTCCAGTGACGTAACCGTTAAGCCATCTGCTGGTCCCAGTGCTGTAATTACGATAGCTCAGGATCTGGGGAAGAGACCGATCTGGGCCATGTGGGCTGGTCCTAAACCCAGTGACAAGAATCCACACGGGGGACAAAGACGTGGACAGCACGTAAAAACTGAGGCACGGGGCAGCACTGTGGCCTGCTGGTGAAGGCCGCTGGATCCCACATGGCCCACCAGTTTGAATGTGGCTTGAAACACGTTTTGGGCATGGGCATGCATGCTCAGAATCCCAACGGGATGGAGCATTGGAGAAGGGACTGTGGTATGACCACATCCCACTGGGGATGCTTTTTCCTTCTCCATCTCTCTGTCTGTCTCTCTGATGGGTGCACATAGTCATTGGCAATTTAAAAAATAGAACAGGGGCCAGCAGATGGCATAATGATTACGTCACTGGACTCCCACATAGTTGACTGCGGTTTGAGTCCCAGACCTGGCGGCTTAAAACGCAGGCTGGGTGTGTGTGTGGGTGTGCCTAAAGTCCGGAGAGGAGAAGGGAGGAGAAGGGATTGCAGTGTGATCTTCCCCCTGGGGGGTGATTTCTCACTTCCTATCTCTCTGGTAGTACACATGCCCTCTAGCAAAAATCTTTCTTAAAAAAATAAGACCGAGGCAGAAGTTAGACTGATACAACCACAACCCTGGGAACATCCGGAGCCACCAGTGGCTGGAAGGAACAGGGAGAAGTTCCTTCCCGGGAGCCCTCAGAGGGAGGTGGCCCTCCAAAGCTATGGCAGAAGAACTTCTTCTGTCTGAAACTACCAGTTTGTGGTGATTTGCTCGGGAGACACAGGAAGCACA